GGCGGGACCTCGCCGTACACGAGGGGTTGTGGCGCGGCTTCCGCTGTGGGCGGGACCTCGCCGTACACGAGGGGTTGTGGCGCGTCTTCCGCTGTGGGCGGGACCTCGCCGTACACGAGGGGCTGTGGCGCGGCTTCCCCTGTGAGCGGGACTTCGCACGGAGTCGGGACCTCGCCGTACACGCGGGGCTGTGGACGCGGCTTCCCCTGTGGGCCGGACCTCGCCGTACACGAGGGGCTGTGGACGCGGGGCTGTGGACGCGGCTTCCCCTGTGGGCGGGACCACGCCGCCATGCCGAGCTCGCCAGCAGGTCCCTCCCCGGAACTTCCTGGACGGTGCAAGTGCAGTTGGTGTCTCTGGAACTCGAGCTGCCGCCGGCTGGAACTGAAGGTCTGGTGAGGGGTTTTTCCCGGGGGTCGGTGTGAGGGTTCCTGTGGTGGGCGCGGAGTTGGTGCCGTTGTGGCCCGGAAGCCTGGTTCTGGCGTGCCGCGTGGCCTTGCTGGACCCCGAGGCTTACCTAAGGCCCAGGCCGACACCCTGGTACTTGCTGGCATTCATCCCTTGGCCGGCACCCCGGGTGGGGCAGTGCACTCGAGGGTCACTGTGCACGTGCTCTGTCCCAGAATTTCCCTGCCTCTCCAAGTAGGGGGTTCCTGGTGCGCTGCCTGGAACGCCTAGTTATGTCTTGAGTCCCATATCAAAGTCTGTTTTCTGTCATTTGTTTACCACAGCCAACAGTGAGGAATGAATGCTAGATAAGCGACTGGCACTTAAGCTAATACAAGTTTTTATTTGTAGCTTATGTTTCTGTCCTAATCATGTATTTTCTGTACATGTTGTTGCTTCATTTTCTATAATAAATGTTAGGGCTCAGAGTATTGCTGTTAGTTCCATATATTTCTGAGGCTACTTTGAAACAGGATATGTTTCAGTCAAGAAACACAATGAGAGCAGAAGGTCCCAAGAAAAAGAGGTGGCTGGTTGTCTTGGGGCTGCTGCGGTGGGGTAGGGTGGTATTGCAGGCTAGGCCTCTACCTGCGGCGCCGGTGGAGTTTGGGCTGCTCTGCCATCCATCCGACTGCTTGCCAATGTGCCTGGGAAAGCAGCGGAGGGCAGCGGGCGCTCCTCACACACGTGGGAGACTCGAAGGTGAATAATCCTGCCTCCTGGCAGAGCCTCGGGTGGCTGTGGCCATTTGGGGAGTGAACTAATAGATGGATCTCTGCCATGTCCCCTTCTCTCTGCATATCTTTCTCAAAATAAACCTTTTAAAAACAGCTTGGCTACTGCCATGTCACAGGCAAGTAACTGGAGGTATCTGACAGATGTTAAGTTAGATGTAGGGTACCTAAGAACACAGCGTGTTGTCCCTTATGCGTTCAGAGAAGCCACCAAGCTCTGTAACAGATTTCACCCAGTGCACGGCAAACAGCCACCGAGGAGACAGCTGACAGCAGGAGTGAACAGTTAAGGGCCAGGCAGGAACTGTTTAACACTTTCCAAGCTTTAGTTGTAGCAACAAACAAAAAAACATAGCCAGACAACACAAAACCAAAGAGTTTGCTCCAATAAAACTTGCAGATTCGCCAACCCGCGGATTAACCCAGTGGAGGTAAAGGGTTCGCGGCAGTAAGCCATCCTGTTTTCTGTATGGCAGATACATTGGGGACAGCCTCACAAGATGAGGGTGGAAGAACTGTAGGATTAAGGACTGGTTTTGATGGTGCACAGCAGAGAAAAAGGAGCATGAATTAGTAGCTAGTTGCTAAACTGTGCTAGGAACTAGAATACACTAGTAATACAGAGGAGCACAGAGGGACGGAAGGAACATACTATCAGATGCTGCAGAAAGAAACGATTGTGAAGCTGTTAAGGAATTCAGCCCACATATCCTGATGGGGTACACCCAATGGCTTGCAAAGTGTAGGAAACCTAGTAGTACATGCAGCCAACTTTTTAACTGAGTTTTTTCTTCTTTCCTAGACAATGGCCAAGAACAAATTAAGAGGACAGAAGTGCAGGAATGTATTTCACATAGCCAGCCAAAATAACTTCAAAGCTAAAAATAAAGCAAAACCAGTTACTACCAGCCTTAAGAAGGTACGTATGAGTTCAGCATTCTGTGTTCATTGGTTACAGGCAAAGCGAACTTAAAGATTTCTTGAAATTGGAAAGTGAGATTTTCCAGAAAGGGAGAAAGGCAGAGATGATTTTCCATCTACTGGTACACTCCACAAAGTGGCAACTGTCTGAACTGAGCCAATCTGGAGCCAGGAAATTCTTAGGGGTCTCCCCCAGGGGAGCTGCTTTCCCAGGCCACAAAGCAAGGAGCTGGGATGGGAACAGAGCAGCCAGGACATCAACCTGTGCTCCTATGGCATCCCAGTGCATTCAAGGCAAGAACTTTAGCCACTAGGCTACCGCACTGAACCCGGAAAGCCTACTCTTCAAGCAACTGAATAAATGGATGCTTTTGTTTGAAACTGGGGCCTCTTCTTGGGCCAGCATCCCAGATGAGCACTGGTTTGTGTCCTGGCTGCTCCTCTTGATAAAACTTCCTGCTTATGGCTTGGGAAAGCAGCCCAGAATGGTCCAGGTGCTTGGGCCCCTGCACCCCTGTTGGAGACCAGGAAAAAGGTTCTGTCTCCTGGCTTTGGATCAGCTTAGCTCTGGCTGTTACAGCTGTTTGCCTCTTCTTTCTGTAAATCTGCCTTTCCAATAAAAGTAAATAAAAAAGCTAAGTAATACAACAGTTCTTAGTCTTTTCTAAAACTCAAGATATTTTAACAATTTGTTTTAAAGAAATGAAACAAAATCTCCCATAAATATGTAAGAAAAAAGTTCTTAATTAAAAAGTTCTAGAGACGCAGGCTGGGCACAATAGCCTAGTGGCTAACGTCCTCGCCATGCGGCGGGATTCCATATTGGCACCGGTTCTAATCCTGGCAGCCCCACTTTCCATCCAGCTCCCTGCTTATGGCCTGAGAAAGTAGTCAAGGATGGCCTAAAGCCTTGGGGCCCTGTACCCGCATGGGAGACCCAGAAGAGCTCTTGGCTCCTGGCTTCAGATTGGTTCAGCTCCAGCCATTGTGGCCGCTTGGTGAGTGAATCAGCAGACAGAAGATATTCCTCTTTGTATAGCTGATTCTGCAATAAAAATAATCTTTTAAAAAGTTCAAGGGAAAGGAAGTGATCTTTTGTTGACTCTTCAAATGTGCACAGCAGCCATGGCTAGGTTAGGACAAACCTAGGACCTCGTAACTCGGCCCAGGTCTCCTGCCTGGTCACAAGGACCCAGTTCCTTGGCCTAGCCGACTTGTCTCCCTGATTGCATTTTAGTAGGAGCTACAAATGGAGCCATACTTGAACTGAGGCACTCCTCCTGGGATGTGGGCATCCCAGGCAGCACCCTAACCATGCTGGTTGTCTGCTCCCAAATGCAAATGTGTAAGGCTTGCTATAGCAAGTTTAACACTTTTCTTTTTTAATATTTATTTCATTTTTATTTGAAAGTCAGAGAGATAGAGAGGAGGAGGATATTCCGTCCATTGATTCACTCCCCAAGTGGCCACAGCAGTTGGAACTGAGCCAGTTAGGGGCCAGGAGCCTCTTTCAGGTCTCCCACGCGGGTGCAGGGTCCCAGTGCTCTGGGCCGTCCTCAACTGCTTTCACAGGCCACATGCAGGGAGCTGGATGGGAAGTGAAGCTGCTGGGATTAGAACTGGTGCCCATATGGGATCCTGACTCTCACAAAGTGAGGACTCCAGCTACTAAGCCACGCCGCCGGGACCTGGGTTAAGCTTCTTGATGGAGCTTTATGACTTTGCACTTAGCGAGGTAGGAAACAAAGTATTGGCAGGATATGAGGGAACTGAGGACAGTGTCATACAGGACTGTTTTCAAATGAAGTCAACACTGAAGCCAAGTCCCAGCACTGTGAAGAGCTAAGAACTGTTGGAAGCAGCAGTCTTCTAGGCAGAGGGAAGAGTCAAGGGCAGAGACGTTGAACAGAGGCAAAGTCTGGTATACTTAGGCACATTATTTCATTTTGATAGCGTCTGCTCTTGTGTGAATGGGCATCCTTGTTGGAAAAGCCTGTCAAGTACTTGTCTCAGAAAGCAGTGTAGAGGGCAGTGCTGTGGCTCAGTTGGTTAATTGACCACCTGTGATGCCAGCATCGCATGAGTGCGGGTTCAAGTTCTGGTTGTTCTGGTTGCTGTGCTGTCAGTCTACAGTCCTGCCACCCATGGGGGAGACTCGCATGGAATTTGAAGCTACTGAATTCACCTGGTCCAGCCCTGGCTATTATGGCCATCTGGGAAGTGAACCAGCACAGCCCATAAATGTAATTTCTAAAACAGTAAAGTTTTTTTTGTTTTTAATTAAAATTCCCTCACATAACTGTAGCAACTTCAGCATGAATTTGGAGTTTAGATCTAAGATAAGAGTTGAACATATTTTATTTGGGGGATTAATGTCTTTTTTCTTTTTCTAAAGATAAACATTGTGAATGAAGACAAAGTGAACAGAGTGAATAAAGCTTTTATAAATATTCAAAAGGAACTTGCACACTTCGCAAAGGGCCTTTCTCTGGAACCTCTACAGAAAGAGCTGGTAAGTTGCAACCATCTGCTTACCTTATGGCTAATCTACAAATTCCCAAAGCTTATACACTGAGTATAAATTTTAATTGTTGGCTTTCAGTATACTTGCTTCTATGGTATGTGCAGCACATTTAGTCATGCTTAGACTCTAAAACTATGAGTCTGAGTAGTATTCTGCTTCCAAAGACATGACAGACTAGATTAAGTTGGGTAATTTAAGCAAATCATTTTGTTATTTAATATAATACTTTTCTTCCTTCAGATTCCTCAGCAGAGTCATGAAAATGAACCTGTAAATGTTGATGAAGCTACAAGATTAATGGCTCAGTTGTAATGCAGTGGTGATGTAATGTAATTCCCCCCCCCAAAAAAATCAATAAATTAAATATTTTATACAATTTTATTTTTAAAAATCTTGTTAATGTACAGGCATTGGCACATTTTAAAAACAAACTACATAAACAGCTCTTTCCTAAAACCTAGGAAAGTGGAATGTCAGATAAACTTAAAGTGCTAAAACAGAAGGCACTTCACAAAATCTGTTCACTGAAACAGTTAGAAATCCTCACTTACATCCTTCACTTATAAGTGGCAGTGAATGTCTGGCCTGAAAGACACAGAAGTACAGACAGTCATGGCAGTAACCATACAAGATAAACAAGTGTAGGGCCTTTGGCCAACTTTCTTGTTTGCTTTCAGAGACCTGAAGTCTGTTTTAACTTTCCTCTCATAGGAAGAAAACAAAGATCTAGAATTGGTTTAAAAAAAGACCAAAAAACAAAAATACAGATTAAAAAAAAAAAGCACTGAAATCCCAGAGAATCACACGGGGATCCTATGGGGGTAAGGTTGAATAGTAAAGCTCTTTGTTTTCATGGTTGAAGTTTTGTGAAGTAAAAGAAAAGTATTAGGGAAGAATACTTCAGAATCAGTGAACTAAAAAGGTGTTACATTCATTAAATACTTAGGTTATTAAGAAGTCTAAATGTTACACAGTTAGAGGTAGATAAGAGTCCCAAGTTTCCATGAATTCTAGTAGTTTAGTATCTGGACATCAAACAGGTCACACACTCCTTCATTGTCATCTAAATTAAAGTTGTAGTCATCTGCTGGGGTAGGAGAAAGCCGCAAGAGTGGAAACACTGTAAATAAACAAATTCAATATTAAAGATAGTTTCTATATGGGTAATCCTATTCTAACATAAAATATGCTCAAATGAATCAACCCAAATTAAGTTGCGACATACCAAGAAATGATCAAATTAATGACTTGTTTTATGTGTGATTTAAAAGATTTGCTTAAAGTAATATGTACACTGATGATTGATCCTAGCGTGGCTGAATTTGTCACTGCAGTATTCATGATTTTAAAACACTAACCAACAAGTCTGTCCTTTGAAAACCGAAGTATGCACTAGATTTCCGAAGTCTGCTAATTTCCATAAATGGCAAATCCCTAAGTGGTTACTGTACCTAATTTAACTCCTATTACACTTGCTGGTCTCTGCTTCATTTGTTAGCAGAACCAGGACTCTGAATCCAAGAAGCAACAGCAAAGTGAAGCTCAGAGACAAATTACTCAGATAGTAGTTACTTTAAGAATTTTTTTCAGATTGGAAACTGACATGGCTAAAGTTAGAAGTTTTGTGATTTCACAGTGGCAGTCTGAAATATGCCACGGTGTGAGTCTTCACAAAAGTGGGTTTCAGATCTACTCATTTAGACATATTATCTTACTGTACTCTTTGGGACTACATTTGAAGTTTATTAACTAAAGGCGATAAGTAGCCCCTCATGGATTCTTTCTCCTTGAAATGCAGAAAAAATAAATTCTGAAGCATGAGTATTATTTACTGTAAGGTATTTTTTAAGGTATTTTTTCATGAATCATCATAGTAAAGCAATTAAAAAATACAGTGTCAAATTATGTCACCTGTGACTTCTAGGAAAACAACATTGTACACATCAAGTAAGTACAATTGTAAATTACTTACCATCAGAAGACATTAACTCATCAATGATATCTCCACTAATAGATCCTACTGAAAGTAGAAATATAAAATTTAGTTACATTTCTGTTTACATATTTTAGTACTGAAACACTGGCAGCTTGACTGCCATGTAAAGTTAACTACAACATTCTGGAAAGATCATTTTCATGAATGTTACTGGCATTACTTAAGCTTTCAAACTCAAGACTTAGACCAATCCTCGTTGCCAAGAAGCTCACTGTCAGAAAGCGTAGGGTCTAATTTTCCCGGTCTCCAAATCTTAAAACTACATCCTTTTCCATTCCTATTACCTTTCTCTCCAGATCACACACATTAAATATTACTTATTTTGCCTAAAAAGTTATTTCTCAATATGCTCTGTCATCCCTCCGTTGCTTTCCCACAGTTGCGTAACTGTAAACATCAAATATTCAGTTTCCACTCACTCTGATCTCTACTTCCTACAGCCAAAAGCATCTTCTGTCCTAATTCATTTTGTTCTTCTGCTCGTACAGTTCTAATTGCTCTATTTCCCTGCTCAGAAATTTTCACCGGATTAGTGGCTGATATCCTAACTCATTAGTTTGATACTCCAGCCTTCTCAAATCTGCCTCCAGGTTACTGGTTACTTTCCTCAGTTTCCAAACATAAAATCATGTACGGAAGCTAACTGCTCAGTTCTCGTTAAGTGGTTAACTACTGAACTGCCAGCGGAGCAGCAAGGAAACACACCCCATAGGTAAAGAATGAGGACTATGTACCTTACAGTTATTAACCACCTGCACTGTGTCATCTACATTAACACCATCCACCTTTCAGCACTGAGGGACTAGCATGCTCCTTGTTTGCAATCAAGAGTTGCTAGCTAAATACCTGCCCACCAGAACCGGAAGAAACACATGCCAAGGAAACCTTTATGAATTTGGCAGTTATGGTTCCTACTCCTACTGCCCAGCTTTTAGTGTTTTGGCTATCTGTCCACCTTCCCCATTTTTGTCACTTTGCAGATGAAATAATTAAGAAAGCAAGATATCCTAAATGATCGGGAGCTGCAACCATTTGTCCACTCACAAACTAAGTTTCTCAGCAAAGAGGTTAATAGTCAAAAAAGAGGCCTAAGTCCACATGTGCTATATTTATTTTTAATGCTGTTTTGTGAAGGTAGTTATAATTTCAATTTCTTATCCTATACTTAAGAAATATAAGATCCTCACCAAGTGAACCACAGATAAAAGCTGATATATCTAAATAATAAAGAAAAAACAACAAATCTGACTTACTTAGCCCCAGAAACAGAATCCAAAGAGAAGCAGTCACCTTTTGCATAGCCATCTCTCCCTTGCTCAGTATTCACTGTTAACAGTCTCAGCTATGTCATCTTATCTGACTAGATATTTTTGACTTCTCTTACTATTTTGTCTCCTGTGTTGGGTAACATGACAGATTCAGGAAGACTTCCCAGTTCATTTTAACACACTTCGTATTTTCCCCTAAGTTTTGGCACAGGCCTGGAACCTACCTGAAGGTATGTCTGTAGCAGGTGTCTGCTGGAGATGCGGACTTCTTTCAGAGGCAGGCTGCTCAGGCACTTGGTGAGCGGCCCCAGGGGGTTTCTGTGGGGTCGCTGGAGTGGAGGAGGACTGAGATGAAGGCTGTGTGAGGTCATCAGGTGGGGGAATGGGAAACACCACGGGCTTCGCGGAACTGGACTCTTTATTTATCAGCAGCACGTGGATAGGTCCTGAGTGACTCTTTAGATTGATCTGGTACTTCTTTTGACCATTCTGACCCTTTGAAGTTATTGGGCATAAACATTATGAATTAATATTAACATTTCTAGCTACTTCAAAACACTGGAAACAAGACAAAAAAAAAGCTTTTATTAAAGACTAACCAAATTCACAAAATCACAAAGTCAAAATAGAAGGGTAGAGACCAAAAGTAGGAAAGTACAACTTGTTTCCATTCTGTGAGTGCAAGTATAACTGATTTTTTGGCTACAAAGATTTAAGCATAAAAGAAAGTAATTTCCATCCCAAGGTTTTAAACTAATATATGTAATATAAATATTTAAACTAATATATGTAATATATATTTAAACTAATATATATAATATAAATGCTTAAACACAAACTAATAAAATGAGGTGAAAGGTCAAATAATATAGTTATCTTTTTGGACTCCTTTTTTGGGGGGAGCAAGGGTGGGTTAGAACTTTCAGTTTTGGAAAAGTTGAATCTGAAGACAAATCATGAAACATATAGCAAAAAATTAGTGAAAGGTTCTTGAGATTAACTCGTTAGAAAGACAGATATACAGAGGGAAGGAGATGCAGAGACACAAGGATCTCCCATCCACTGGTTCACTCTAAATGACCGCAATGGCCAGAGCTGAGTTGATCCAAAGCCAGGAGCTTCTTTGGGTCTCCAGTGTGGGTGCAGAGACCCAAACGAGCACTTGCAGACAGAGGATTAGTCAACTGTGCTATTGTGCCAGCCTCACAATTCTTCTACGTTGAACCTTTTTCCTCAGTCAGGATTTTTTGTAAGTTATACATGTAGTCATTTTAATTGATTTTTTAAAAAAGATTTATTGGGCCCGGCGCAGTGGCGCAAGTGGTTAAAGGTCCTCGCCTTGCACGTCCGGGATCCCATATGGGCGCCGGTTCTAATCCCAGCAGCCCCGCTTCCCTTCCAGCTCCCTGCCTGTGGCCTGGGAAAGCAGTCGAGGATGGCCCAAAGCTTTGGGACCCTGCACCCGCGTGGGAGACCCTGAAGAGGCTCCTGGCTTCAGCCCTGTATAGCATCACCCCGTTGCGCTCACTTGGGGAGTGAATCATCGGACGGAAGATCTTCCTCTCCGTCTCTCCTCTCTGTATATCCGCCTTTCCAATCAAAATAAAATAAATCTTTAAAAAAAAAAAGATTTATTTTATTTTTGATTGGAAAGACAGGTTTTACACAGAGAAGGAGAGACAAAGATCTTCCATCTGCTGGCTAACTCCTCGCTGGAGCTGAACCCATTCAACACCAGGAGCTTCTTCCGGGTCTCTCACATGGGAGCAGGATCCCAGGGCTTTGGGCCATCTAGGCTACTACACCAGACCCTTAATTGATTTTGAAAGATTATTGCAGGGCCTGATGGGATGAATCAGTGGTTAAATCCTCACTTTTCACACAGAGATCCCATATGGGCACCAGTCATGTCTCAGTTGTTCACTTCACATCCAGCTCCCTGTGTGAGGCCTAGGAAAGCAGCAGAGGATGCCCTAAAGCCTTGGGACCTTGCACCCACATGGGAGACCCAGAAAAGGCTCCTGGCTTCTGATGGGCTAAGTTCAGGCCATTGTGGCCACTTGGATAGTGAACCAGCAGATGGAAGATCTTTGTCTCTATTAAAGCTGCCTTTCCAATAAAAAAGAAAATATTAAAAAAAAATGAAAGCTAAAATATTATTACAAATGCCATTATTTCTCCCCGATATCCTCTGGCTGCAATAAAGTCAAATTAGACAACAAAAACGTGGTGACAGTATTGTGGAATAGTAGGATGATCCATAGCCTCTACATCCAGCATTCCATATGGGTGCTTGTTGGAATCCCTGCTGTTCCACTTCCCATCCAGTTCCAGCCTAGCATGCCTGGAAAAGCAGTGGGAGGGCAGCCCAAATACTTGGGCCCCTGCATCCACATGGGAGACCTGGATGAAGTTCCTGGTGTCTGGCTTCAGCCTGGTATAACCCTGGCCCTTAGTGAACCAGCAAATGCAATATCCCTCTGTTTCTCCCTCTCTGTAATTCTAGCTTTCCAATGAAACAAAACAAAAACTACTTGTAATGAAAACATCGAATGATGTGCTTAGTCACTTCTAAAGTACAGAAGATATAAAAAATCCAATAGTAAAACTTTCGAAGAAGTAATGTGCAGTAATTCAAAACTGCTTACACCAATCACAGAATACCTACCATCTCTGGAATAGGTACTTCCAGCTGTGTACCAGAAGGTGCCTGAATAGCCAAAAGTGTATCACCTGGTCAAAAACATAAATAAAAAATATGGAGAAACATGGCAAGAGTAATGTTCTGGAAACAGAATGCCTAGGTTTAAAAACCAGGGTAGATGAACTTAGCTTTGGTTTTAAATTCTGCAAAATGGCAATTAAATGAGATAACTTAACTTTAGTACCTCTTAGAACACGGTAAACATTCAGTGTTAGCTCTACTGTTTTCATTCACAAAAACAGTTCAGAATAGTTTTGCTTTTATATCTGCCTCCTATAAAAGCTGTGATCTGTTAAGTGATTTTTCACTTCAGTTTAATAATAACATTTACTTGAAATATTTAAACTACTTAAATTAGTTAGGACACTAGAGCTAAGTAAGACAATGAAATCTTGAAGGCACGGGAATATATTCTTGAAGTCCAAGTTAACAAGGTAACAGAAATTTCCCAACATCCTCAGAAAGCTTGGGAATTATGGGAAAATAAAACAGTAAGTTAACGTGTATTTCTAACATAGGCTAACATGAAAAGTCAGTCTGCACTTGACAAGAGCTCTTGGTATTTTTGGGGGGGTGGTGTTTAATACACAGGGCTGTCCTTTTGGTAGAACATACAATTAAATATAAATATATGTAAACTTTTACTAGTTTTTTTTTACGTATTTTTGACTTTACTAATGTTATCAGAATTTACTATCCCCCATTTTTTTAATTAATACATAACATTGTCACTTCAAGAGAAGAAAAATGAAGAGGCTGGACTAGGATTGGGAGAAATTTTTGGTTATGGAAAGCAGCAACCTAGGTCCTTGCTCCTTCAGGATCCCCGGAGGGCCAGCACACGCGCAGTGGTCACTGAGTGTGAAACTCAATTCAGTCCAGCTCTAATTTCCCTTCCCCTCTGCCCTCTCGCTTTCTCTCCCCTCCCACACTCAACGTATGCCTGCCAATTGAGGTGACATCATGAAAAGCTGTTAAAAGCAGTTGTCATGAAAACACAAACAAATGTAACAATCAACACACAACACTGAAGAGTGAGAAAAATGTCTCCAACTCTTTACATGCTGACAGAGGCTGGGTAAATGTGCCAATTCTAAATCCCTCTACAGTTAATAGGTTGGCCCAAGAAAACACGTAAGAAAAAGTCTAACAGTACTTACCATTAAAGCAATTACAGATGTCTTCATGAGTTACATAGGAAAATGTACTGCCATAAGAGTTAAGGAACAGCATTTGTATCAAGGCTTAAACATTTAAATGAATATATATGAAGGCTAAAATAACCAAATAGCCAAATGTTTGAAGGGGTTGCCATACATGATCAAATTAGGCAGGAAGTCTTCAGTTTAGAAAAGCAGAAGCAATCAGACTCCCTTTGCTCCAATTCTGATCACTGTGGCACCTGCAGACCGTTGGGAGCGAGAATAGTGCATTCCTTCTGGAGGCAGGGGCTTCTGAGAGAAGGAAATGGATAAGGGGCCATACACAGGAGTGCAGAGTAAAAGCCTACACTGAACATCTTGTGTCATTATGATGTTTTATGAGACACTCAGTCCAGGTCAGCTACAACCGGAGACCAAGAGGAAAACATTACTCAGGTCCTGGAGACAGCAGGTATGTCTCCGTCACACAGGCACGTGTTGGAGACACTCCAGCACGGTCGAAGGCAAGAGACAGAAGGAAGAGAACGCATTAAGTCAAAACCCAAGTGGAGTTTTCACATAAGCAAGGAATTAAAGGGGGAACACTTAAGAATTAGAGTAATTGGGTCGATTCCAAGCTGTAGGAGGAACCTCTGGTATCTGGCCTGGCAATGAAGGCAGAGAGAATACTGCTTCCTGGGGTGTCAAATTCAGAGGGGGCTGTGGCCCTGGAAAACTCTGTCAAAGTACCCAAGGTGTGCTCCACACTGAGCCTTTGATACTCTCCAAGAACTGCCCTCCTCCAGAAAGGTCCCTTCAGGCTTTCAAAAAATTTACAGATAATCAAGTATGTAGTATATATACACACGTGCATGTCTGTGTGCATGTATAACATTCCTGAAGGATTTCCAAAAAACTAATGAAAAATACATGTTATAAAAACTTGGGTATGATTTTCCATTTTTTGCACCAAAATAAACATCTTTTAATCCCATATTTCCAGGAGCTCTTAAAGTACCGTGTTTGTGTGTGCATGTGTGTGTGTGTGTGTGTATCTGTGTAATATACCACTATGGTTTGAGGAACTGGGAATGGCCAGAATCCTGTAAACCTGAACACCAGAGTCTAAGATCAACTAGGTTCAGTGGTCTTTGAATCTCAGGGCCCTACAGGGCACAGCTTGAAAACCTACATGGGGCCCAGCACAATGACTCGATTGACAGATCCTTCCCCTTTAAGCACCAGGATGTCAGGGAGGCGCCATTTCCTGTCCTGACTGCTTTACTTCCCATCCAGCTCCCTGCTTGTGGCCTGGGAAAACGGTGGAGGACGGCCCAAAGCCTTGGGACCCTGCACCCATGTGGGAGACCCGCAAAGAGGCTCCTGGCTCCTGGCTTCGAATTGGCTCAGCTCTGGCCGCCGCAGCTATTTAGGGAGTAAACCAGTGGATGGAAGATCCTTTTCTCTGTAGATCTGCCTTTCCAGTAGAAATAATTAAATCCTTAAGGAAAAGAAAAAGAAAACATGCATAGTTCTCAAACCATCAAGAATTTGTTCTATTTCTAGAAAGCGACCAGGAACTTATTCACCAAATCCATGACAATATGAAAAAGAAAACCATGTATAGTTTAAAATGGGTATAAGTGAAAATGTGGCTGAAGTTTTCCTAAGAGTGGAAGTCAAGTCACAAGCCAGGAGAATTTCAAGTATCTAAAAGACAAAGTGGTTTAGAAGAAATTCAAAGATTTTTAGTGTTAACACAATATGATAGATATGCAAACCTGGGATTCCTGCCTGCCACAGGAAGCTATCTGCAGGCCAGGACCGAGCAAAAGGACCTGGGACTGACTAGACTCCAGAGTGTTGCCTCATCAGATCAAAATTAATTTTTGAAAACCTTGAAAGTTGATAAATTTTTACCACTTTAGAACACTGAACATTAGTATTTAAAAAGATGTCACTCTTAAGAGTTCTAATGTTCATGACCCTTCTAAGCACTTCAGTTAGCATATTTCATTTTATCAAAGAATAGATTAGTTACCTGATCTTTTTCCCCTGCAAATGAAACCTGGGAATTAATGGATAAACAGGTAAAATCTTCAAACTATTGGCCTAACTCACTAGAGAAGTATTAACAAAATTAAAATATTCCCCATCCCTGGGTAGTACTGGGGTGGCTGGGAGGCTAGGTATGGCTTCTCCTCTTATCCTCCCCCCCCAACACTGAAAAACAATTAGGAGAAATAGAAAATTTGGAAACAATTATCATACCCCACTTTTCCCTAACCCTTGATTCATCCCACTGTGATCAACTATGTTAACATCATCTAAAATAAAAATAAAATAAAAACTGAAATGTTATATTTACTTACAAAACTTAACTCTAGAACCATTTGAATAAAGTAACTGGGTTTCAGACTAAAAGTTATATTATAAGCATACAGATCGCTATATGTACATGTGTTAATTATTTGAAAGGATATCTATTATTAATGGAGTCGTCCATCACATTTTTGATGCTTTGCTGGAGCCATAACTTCTGCTGATCAAGTTCTCTTTCCTTCAGTTCTAAATCTTCAATTTCAGTCTTAAGAAATTTCAATCTATCTATGACTTCTTTAGTATTACAGCCAGCACCGACACCTCTTAAAAACATGTAAAAATTGATATTCCCAAATCAGATCTTTATATCACTTAATTTTTCTATAAGACAGTAGTATGAAATGAAATCTTTACACTTTTCTAAAACTCAAGATTAAAATTCTCAGAAAATTTAAACATGATCTTTATGAAAATATTTGCTTATAAAATATATTGACAAGAACAAATGAATTACAAAAAAAGTTCACAGTGGCTCCAGAGCATTTTCCGTCACCTGGGAGACCAGGCTGGTGATGCAGGTGCCAAAAAGATGTCAAAGCTACACAGTCAAAACTGGCAACCTCATGAAATACAGCACTGCATTTAACATTTTGTTGAAATTTCAGCTAAAAGAATAATAATAATAAAAAGAGGACAACTGAACACATCCAAATAGACAATCATGCAACAGTTAAAACATTAATTACTCCACTCAGGAATTTAAAGGTACACAATTCTATGTGCAATACAGTCCTTAGTGGCAGGAGTTTTTTAGTTGGGTGACGATTCATTCAGAGAAGTTACAATTCAAAGCAGCATTAATGTTTGCCAAAGGAGTAACCTGAGGGAGAAAATCAGATGTGTTCCCTACCCTAAGAGTGTAACAGACAGCAGAGAACAAGGGGGCACTTCAGCCAGGGCTGATGGATACAGGGTCCAAACAACAAGGAGAGGCTGAGATATAGGATCTAAAGGGCAAATGTTAGAAAAATCATGGGGAAAAACAATGTTTTAGAATTGCATGCTGAATTGTAACTTACTTCCACTGGATACTATTTTTTGACTTTTTTTCAATGAGATCAATTCCTTCTAAGACATTGGTTATATCGTAAATTCTTCTTTTTTGCCTGACAGCCAGAGTATCTGCAGCCTGCTTAGGAAAATAAAGCAAACATAAAAAACAAATCATATTTTAAAATCAAAAAGGGTTGATTATTAAGCTCACAGCATGGATGCCCAATTCCAAATTTGACCCCGTCAGTTGCTTGAGAACAATAGCTGGGTATGTTCAGAACATTGCAACTACCAAAGAAATTATTCCATTTAAAAGGTAGCAGATGTTAGAATGGGAAAGAAAAGTGAAGGTCATGACACAAAGCTCACAAAAATAAAAGAACACAACAAGAATAATGCATGGCACCTTAGGAACTATGCTGGAGGAAGAGCTAATGATTTCTACCCGTGTCGCTTCCTATCTGAGTTCTCTGTTTATATTCTCACCTAATGACAGCAGTCCTTACTTTTTGAAACCTAAAAAAAATGTTTCCTTCGGAATTGGCTTTTTTTGGCAAGTAGGATCCTTGGGAGAGAAATTCTTTATTATATACCTTTTTGTAATACTTTGAAATAACTACATTTTTAAAACTCAATGAAAACAGCAATGAATCAAGCCATACCAAGATAAAGCATAAAAAGCAACCACAAGAACAACAACAAAAACCCAAAACTCAAGAGTACAGGGGCAGGCATCGCAGCACAAAACTGAAGAAAGTGCGTGGAATACCAACATCCCATATCAGTTCGCCACTCCCCTTCCTATGCAGCTTCCTGCAGTGCATATCCTGGGAAACAGCAGGTGATGGTTCAAGTACACGGGTCGTTGCTGCCAGGCGGGCACCCTGAGAGTTCTGGGCTCCTGGCTTTGTCCTGGCCCAGCCCTGGCTCTTTGCAGGCATTTGCAGGAAGTAAAAATGAGAGGATCTCTCTCTCTCTTCCTCCCTCCGACTTTCAAATAAATAAATAAAAATAATTAAAAATTCATAGAACAAAATTGTACTAGTAACTGTTGCATGGAAATTCATGCATATCAAGTAAAATCAACAAAGACACTACAAACTGTCACATTATGAACAAATTCCAGGAATATAAGTTCCTCTAATTAGTTTTCACTCACATTTCTTACATTTGTTCCCCAGTAAAAACTCACCACCCTACAAATTTTTTTCAGAATAGATTAGTTAACAATGACCTATCTTGAATGTGGACCTACAGTTTAAGGTTAATTGTAGCCACGGAAAACACATTTGTGATGCTGACAACTTGTCCGCACATTATCTAAATTAATGAGCAGAGTTTTAACTTCACAGGATTGGTAATGAGGCCTCCCAGGGCCTCAAGACTTTTATACAAAAGGAGCTCCTCCCAACAGCCAAAGCAGCAAGTTAGCAAGTCTGATCTGCCTTTCCCAGGCACCAAGCGCCTCACCACCTGCTGAACACCCCTGAGGGACTGTAAACAACTCCGGCTCTTCCTTCTTCCAAGCCTTGTGTTCCTGTATCTACTTACTTACACATAAAAACATTCACAACACAGCAACAACCCACTGGCTTTGCTATTCCAACATGCTTACACAAACTACACTGCCAGCGTTGTCCTACATCATCACGCAAAGTACCATGACATTGAACCTTTGGCTCAAAATCTTTTAAGTCTCTGACTTAGGCTTATTACTGCTTACCAGTCACAACATTATATTCTTGAATTCAGTGACACATGATTTATATTTAAGCACATAAACATAAATGACCAATATAAATAGATCAAATCCCTTAAAGAGAATCCCCATGAGGCTTTTAGCAGCTGCATCACTGCTGAGAAGTTAGGTTCTGGAGCTGGTCAAATAAAGATTAGATTCCAGCACTACTTCCTACATTCAGCTGGTCCCTTAAACTCATCAAGTTTCTTTTATTTCTTTTATAACACAGAATGATAACATATACCGAAAAGGTGAACTGTGGGATTAGGCTGGATACTCTTAGTACAATGTGTGCTACACAGTTAATACTTAAATGTGGGCTAGTAACAGTTCATCATCAAATAGAGGTTGAAAGAGGATCCTGGAAAAGATTTCAGTTTGTAAGTACATTGACTACTCTGTTTTTTGGTTTTTTGTTTGTTTTTAAAGATTTATGTATTTATTGGAAAGTCAGATATACAGAAAAGAGGAGAGACAGAGAAGATCAAGTGAGCCCAACAGCCAATGTTATGCCAATCCGAAGCCAGGAACCAGGAACTTCCTCCGGGTATCCCACATGGTTGCATGATCCCAAGGCTTTGGGCCGTCCTTGACTGCTTTCCCAGGCCACAAGCAGAGAGCTGGATGAGAAGTGGAGCTGCTGGGATTAGAACCAGCGCCCATATGGGATCCCAGCGTGCTCAAGGTGAGGACTTCAGCCGCTAGGCCACGCAGCCGGGCCCGACTACTCGATTTATGTGCTATTTTAAAAACCTTGGAGTTTTCTGGGCTGGTGTTAGGCATACAGATTAAGCCTCCACCTGCAGCACTGGCATCCCATCTGTAAGCAGATTTGAGTCCCAGCAGCTCCACTTCTGATCCAGCTTCCTGCAAATGTGCCTGGGAAAGCAGTGGAGAATGGCTCAAGAGCTTGGTTCCTTGCACCCACTTGGGAGACCTAGATGAAGCTCCTGCTTCTGCACTGGCCCAACTCCAGCCATGTGCAGCCATTTGGGGAATGAGCTAATGTTGCGCGTTGACCAAATCTATCCCAGAAATCAGTCAGAGGCAGACTCTTGAAAGCTCGAAGAGTCTATTCACCAGCCAGCAGACCGTCCCATTCCATTACACATGGAGGAGGGCAGCAGCCCCAATCAACCTTGTTCAGGGGTTCTTAAGCAGCAATCATCCACTTAACTGAGAGCACTGGCACAGGATACAAATCAGTCAATCAACTGTTACATCAGTGCACAATACAAATTATGCAATCAGCTGTAGTGGTGTGGAACAGATATCCAGTTTAAGCATCATGCACTTTAAACTATCCAATCAGTAAGAGCTGCATCCCGCCTAGTAGGGAACAACAGAACCAGGCAAACAGGTCCTTCAATTCCACGTATAGAAACCAATTTGGGGCAATCAGTTTCTTGACTGAGCCATAAAAGAAAAGCAAGATCTCATTCTGGAATGAGATACCATCTTGTGATGAGCACTTTCCCTCCCGTCTCAGGGCTGTCCAAGAACCCAAGATTATGGCAAAGGTCAGCTTATGGACATGTCCCAAAACTGTTTCAGAAGATCTAGCCTTACTCCCGCCAATTTGTAATGACTGGCTGTCACACCAGCAAACGGACGGTCTCTCTCCTTCTCTCTCTGAAATTCTCTTTCAAAAATAAATAAATCCTTTAACAAAATGTGTGAGTCTTTAAGCTTTATTAAATAACCTGAGATTTTCAACTATATTAAAATGAAGTCATGAATCCCCACCACTGCCACCACCTCCATCATCTTCACCAATTCATGTAACACATACTTCTTTCAAGGCTTGGTTCTGAGCCTTATGGGTACAACAGCAACAAAGTCCTGTCCTCAAAGACAGAAACACAGTTATTTTGCAAATAATTATGTTTAGAGGTAAGATGAATGCGACTATGTTAAGCAGGATGTTCAGAGCAGAGCCCTTTCACAATGTGTTATTTGAACTGAAAGGATCAAGTGACTCCTCTAAACATCAGGTAGAAGCAGATTCTGAACAAAAGGGCCATCCAATACAAAGGTTCTTAACAGTGAATCCCGACAGTTCCCTAAGGAAGGCCATGCAGGCCAGTGGGGCCCAAGACAACGAGAAGAAAACTGTTGAGGGGCCTAGGGAAGAAAAAGATAATAAGGTCAGAGAGATAACTAGGACCTTGAGGGTTGTGGAAAAGACACCAGCTTTTGTTCCCATCAATTAAAAGTCCCTGAAAGATTTTTGAGCCTATGGATGACTGGACTTCAGATGTTTTATTAAAGATTTATTTATTTTTATAGGAAAGGCAGATTTACAGAGAGAAGAAGAGCTAGAGAGAGGTCTTCCATCCACTGGTTCACACTCCAAATAGCCACAATGGCTGGAATTGAGCTAATAATCTAAAGGCAGGAACTTCCTCAGGGTCTCCTACATGGGTGCAGAGGCCCAAGGCTTTGATCCATGCTGCACTGCTTTCCTGGCATATAAACAGGGAGCTGAACTGGAAATGTAGTCAGGACCAAAACTGGTATCCAAAAAGGATGGAACATTAGCCTGTGAGCCTCCACCAGCCCTGGTGTTCATATTTTTAACAGTTCTCTTGCTAATGTATAGAGAAAATTCTTCTAAGACTGAAGTGGAAGAAAGAAGGCCAGTGAGAAGGCAATGGCAGAAACCCACAAAATCATGGCAGTGGCTTGGATGGAGGGGTACTGACAATGGTACTGAGAAATGATAAATTCTGAGTAAATTTTTGAAGGTCAGCAAGCGGCAGGCCCTGACAGAGAGGAGTCCAGGGTGATTCCACAGTCCTTTGAGTTGACCAATCACAACAGGGACTATTACAGGTTGAATGGGGTGAGCCACTGGAAATCAGGAACTTGACCCTGCACATTTTTCTGATACTGAAGGGAAGAAATCAAGACTACTGCATAGGCAAGTGTGTGAAATAGGGATGAGGCCCTCATGTGTGGCAGAAATTCAGTAGTCATCAGAGAACAGACATTGTAGGCCACAAGACAGAACTCCCTGATTCACCTGAGAGGTAAGGAACGAGCAGGGATTCATTGACAGTCATTATTTTTTTTTAAAGATTTATTTTATTTTTATGGGAAAGGTGGATATACAGAGAGGAGAGACAGAGAGGAAGATCTTCCGTCCACTGATTCACTCCCCAAGTGACTGCAACGGCCAATGCTATACCGATCTGAAGCCAGGAGCCTCTTCCGGGTCTCCCACACGGGTGCAGGGTCCCAAAGCTTTGGGCCGTCCTCGACTGCTTTCCCGGACCACAGGCATGGAGCTGGAAGGGAAGCAGGGCTGCCGGGATAGAACCGGCGCCCATATGGGGTCCTGGGCGTGCAAGGCGAGGACCTTAACCACTGCACCACCGCGCTGGGCCCGACAG